TGCTCATACATTGCAGTGGGGGAAGGGTAGCCAGGCAGGCCTCCTGAGGGGGGCGGTGCTGCACAGGGCTTCGGTGGACAGTAGGGTTTTGATGGGCAGAGAGTTAGAGAAATACCTGAGCTTTGGCACATGGGTGGGAAGGTAGGTATGTTTAATGGAGAATTAAGAGGCCGTTTCGGTGGAGTATAGAATAGTAAGTGAATGTGAATGATGAGAGAGAATACACTATTAAAGAACTGAGAAACCCAGAGGAGAAGGAGCTGGTCCTTTCTCGTGTGTGTTGGTAGGTTGTTGTGGGTCATGATTTGGGGGCACAGGGAAGCCAGACCTGTACAGTGTGGGGTATGTAGCAGGTGGCTGAAAATTCAGGTCTGGCCTGCAGGAAGGAGAGAAAGGAAGGCCAGCACATACCCATTTTGAAAGCTCCAATGTTTATCAAATCTGATAGCAAAGGCTGGGATGGACCCAGAACAAAAATGTGATCAGGCAGAGTTCCCGGGGACGGTCACATGTGGTTGGGTCACAATCCCGAGCCTGCTGCCAGGTGTCCGGGAGCGCCCACCTCCACAGGTGCAGCCAGTTCACTGCGCCCGGCAAGGACAGAGCTGGCAGGGAGCACTCCCAGGGAGCCCAGGCCAGAGCTGGGGCCTCTGACACTGACCGGAGGAGCACAGGGGTCACTCCGGGTCTGCAGAGCCAGCTCAGGTGACGAACACAGGCCCAGACTGCCACTGAGCTTATGGCCCAGAGAATTCGGAGCCCTGGGCTTGGGGTGAGTTACTTGTACTGGGCATAGGAGGCTCATTTTGTGGAAGTGGAACATAATTCTTAGAGTGGAAATAGGACGAGGAGTCTTCCTGCTGCACAAATCAGTGTCTTCTGTTGTGCCAGGTGCATTTTCAGTTGTCAGACCATTTCCAAGGGCAGAGGACTTGGCAGTAAATCCATGCTACTCACTAGCCTCTTCTTGTTTCTTACCTCACTAGAGTCAGACACATCTCATGTGATAGGAGGAAGCCTGAAGGGATAATGGACAGTCTGACCCTGGTTGAATAGGGGGCAAGACCAGCTGCTAAGAGTAGTGCAAACCAAGGTTTAGGGGGCATTGAGAACTTGAAACAGGTTTGGACAGGGGAAGCCTTTAAGAGTGGATGAAAATTGCCCAAATAGTCATGGATTGGTGGAGTGAATGGGAGTGACTCAGCACAGGATGCCTAACAGCTATGGGTGGAAACTGGGCTACTGCCCCAGAGGGCTCGGTGCCTGGGGAGGAGGCATCAGAAGGCCCGAGGGAAAGAGGTGCAGAGGCTACAGAGGCAGGTGAAATGGCCAGCCGGCGCTCCAGGTGGGGCAGGCAGATCTAGAAGCCAGAAGAGACGGTGTGGGGAGTAGGGGGTCAGGGGAATGGCTGAGAGAGGTGGAGGGATTGGTGGGGAGGGAGGGTGGTTAGGGAAGGGCAGCTCAGAGTTAGAGAGCTAGGAGGAGCAGCACTGGGTGGTAACAAGCACTCAGGTCTGGCTTTGCCGGCGGTGGCTTGAAATGGAAGAAAGAAAATATCCAGGGAGGTTGAGGGTGTGATGTTGGAAAGATGATTCCCTCTTGGGTGAAGTTCTGTCCACTCAGACGGTTGAGAGGTGGTGGTAGAATAGCTAGCTGTAGAGAGCACGATGAAGCCAAACCTGTCTGCCACCTGCACACCTGCACAGGGAGTCTGTGCAGGAGACGAGAGCCTGCTGGGCAGAGCATGTGCCGTCCCACAGCCCGATGGAAGAAAAAACATCAACCTTTATTAAATACCTGCCATGTTTCAGGCAGTACAGGAACTTTTGCACACGTTATATCATTTAATTTTTGTAATGACCCTTGAATATTGTCCATATTTTACACATGATAAAACGGAGGCTCACTGGGAGGGGTGGGGGCGGGGTGGAGGGGATCAATGGGGGAAGCAGGGGGACACCTGTAAAGATTTAACAATAAAGATTTTTTTTAAAAAAACAACAAAAGAAAGAGGCTCAGAGAAGTGAAATAACTTACCCCAGGTTCACATAGTGAGTGGAGTCAGAATTGGAAGCCAGATCTATTTGATGCCAAAATCTGAGACTCCATGTAAGTGTAGCAGAGGTTAATCCCAGCAGATCCACCAGGAGGGTTATACAATCTACAGGTAAGTGGGAAACAGCAATGATGATTATAGGAGGGTAGTTCCATGAGGGAGGGATTGTCTCTCCCGTTCAATGCTAGGTTCTCAGCACCTAGCCCACTGCCTCACACATAGTGGGACTCAATATGCTTGTTGAATGAATGATAAGCAAACATACTCAGGGCAATGAAGAAAGCGGTGCAGGGACCCAAATTCCTAAAAAGTTTCGAGAATGTCAGTGAGAGGCGGAAGGAGGGAATCTGGAAGAGCTTCCAAGTCCTGAAGCCTCTTACCTGGGGAGGTTAGGGAACCGGAGTTGACATCCAAGCAGGGAGGGGATGCGCACGCAGACGGAGCGCCAGTCCACGTGGACTCTCCGGAGGAGCCTCTAGTTTCCCAGTAGGATGTCAGTCTTACCGCCTGTTTCCCACTTGCCAGACTGTGCAGAGTTGGCCTCAAGAGATCAGAGGAAGCCAGCCCCCAGGCTTCTGACGAGGGTGAAATTTCCCTCCACCGACGGTGCTGCCGGAGACGTCCAGGGAGGCTCGTCCACAGTGCACGGCTGTGTCTCCTCCTCCAGGTCTTTTAAATTCATCCTCCAAATCTAGAAAGCTACCAACTTGGACTATATTAAGAGAAAATCCTTTAGGAAAATCCCCTCCTCAGAAAGTGATTTTAGAACTCTGCGCTGAGAAAAACTTGGTTTCCATTGAGAAAGGGCATTGAGGCAACTTCAATTACAATGAAGTAAGGTGCCGCTAGTGAAAACGACTGAGCTACTCGTGTTTCCCTTTTTGCTTTGGCTTCTAGGAAATTCATCCACAGCAGTTACACTTTTCTTTACGGTTGGCTTATTTATGAACATTTTTCTTAGCTCTGATTTTCTATTTCTATCGTCTTATGTCATTGCAGTGTCAGTTGCCTCAATGCCTTGTAGAAACAGCTTGATGCAGAATAATGAACAGAAGTGCCTCCCTCCTGTTCATCCAGGTGGAGTCTTCAGTGAAAAGGGAGGGCAGCTGCTGACCCTCCTGGGCATGGTGGCCACCAGGTGGCACCAAAGCTTTCCCACAGCCATCTTCGGAGAGGCGATTTGGCCTGAAAGTGTTTCTAATCTGTTTCTTGAGCTGCGTGCCACATGCATTCCGAGTGGCTCCTGACCAAAATGCAGTGGGGACTGAGCAGAGCTGACCTAAGTCTAGCTGGCTTCTTTCAGGCGTTCAGCTTATAAGATCCATGTTTCAAACGGGGCAGGGCGACTCCCAACCAGATCAGGCCCGTAGAGGCTATGCCACTTCTCGGAAGCAGCTGTTTTTCTACACCATTTGAGGCAACTGGAAGTGGGACCTCATCACAAACGGAGAGTTTAGGGAGGGTGTCATAGGGGAAGGGGACTTTTCAGCTTCACCAAGTGTTCTGGTGACTTCTGTTTGAAATGAATACCTTATTCGTAATAGTGGCCACATAACTGGACAATAGTAACGGAGAGTTTAGGGAGGGTGTCATAGGGGAAGGGGAGGGGAAGGGGCCTTTTCAGCTTCACCAAATGTTCTGGTGACTTCTGTTTGAAATGAATATCTTATTCGTAATAGTGGCCACATAACTGGACAATAGCACCCTTTTAAAATAGAAACTGTTAAAAAGACCCAGCTGTGCTGACATTACCATCCATTTTTGCCTCTGTTATTCACTCTGATAAATTATGTCATTTAAAATCATTTGTATTTAGGCCTCTGTGCCCAAGAGGAGATAAAAGCCTTCAGTAGAAGTTGGAAGAATGTAATTATATGAAAATCTTTAAACTCTGGTTCTTGACTCCTCATGAATTGATTTGTTATTATTGTGATAAAAGGTGTTTCCTTTGAGAATCCATGTTTATTCCTGTTGATTTCTCTTATTTTCTCAAGCCTCTGCAGTACCTCATCAATTGTATTTCCAGAGGATTAAAGAGCAGTGGAACCCTACTAGTCAGAAGGAGGCGTTTGTGTCCAAATCAGGCACAGGGAGCAATGTGGCCTTGGGCAGAGAGACGGAAGGTGACTATTCAGCTATTCCCACTGCTCTCCTGAAGTTCAGTCCTGGAATCACTGGCCAGAACTGGTCACTGATGCTGCTCTGTTTGGGAGGGGAAACTCTCCAGTTAATTTGCCTTTAAAAGTCTCTTCCAGGAATTCCGAGTCTACGCAGGCACCTCGTACCTGATGGAGAATTCGTTCATCTACAGAAAGCCCGGTAGGGGGATAAGAAGATACCTACATTTCTTACGATTTCCTTGGAGCTGAAGACATCAGCTATGAACTCGAATGTCTTCCTGCTGAAGGGGAACATTTGTTCTCACCTGGAATGCACTGGATAGTCCAATAGACTCCCATGTGACTGTTCCTCTGCTGTGGGGTCCCTCAGCTCAAGAAGCATCCAGCACTACAGTCCATTTAGTATAGCACACGTCAGCCCTCCCACCATCACAAAAGCCTCTTTGGTGGCTCCCCACCCACCTGCATGGTGACCCAAATGGAGTGACCCAAGATGAGTTCTGTAGGGCTCAACAGGTCAGTCAGCGACTGCCCTGAGAGACGTTTGATCTTTAATGCAGGTACTAGGTGTTTAGGGTAGGCCACAGTGGGACTGTGAGCAGTAATTTTGGGGAATCTTATTAGGAAAAGAGGTAAATAAGGATGGGCTGTGAACCAGACAAGGGCACTTACTAACACTGCCCTCCAGGCAAGCTGGGGAAAGTGCAAGGCCAACAAGAAGAAACTGGGTCCCATTAAATGACCAAAAAATTAGGAATCAGATTTAGATTTCCTATATCACAGAACTTAATTCAGAAGAGAAATAATTTATGAGACAACCTCAATGTTATTAAAATGAACAAATTTATTGAGCACCTACAATATGCCAGCATCTATCACAACAATAATAATCCAAGAGTCGGATCCACCAGTGGGTGTCAGGAACCCCCCGGGTGAGGAAAGGTTAGTGTATGACCAGAAATGGAAGCGAGGGCTCTGTCAGTAGAGTCTCTGTGTCTCCTTCTCCACACAGTGACTGCCGTTTCTGACCATAGCTCTGGAGGGGAGCGGGAGGGCGGCCTGAATGTGGTCTGTGGTGGGCTTCCCTTTCCTTCTCTCTGTTATGGGGGCACCTTGCATTTTCTGCTCTTGAACGGTGCTGCTGACATCCCTTGGGGTCAGCTGGTTGAATGGACTGTGCTGAGGGTGGGTCACTGAAGAAGGGTGGGACCAGAGAGCATCAGAGTTGGGCTCTCAGGCAATTCTAGGGATGCATGCAAATGCACTAAACTAAGGGTACCAATTAAGGATGAAGACAGGAGGAGACAGCACTTGGCAGTTGGCCTCATTGATTTTTGCTACTCCTGAGCTGGCCCACTGTTCCTTGTAGGCTGAGTCAACATCTCTAAGTTATTTTTCTCCTCCTCCCTAAGGTTAGCCTGTCGCTCTTCATCATCAGCTACTGATTGTGAGTCACAGTCCTGGGCAGGAGCTGGACAGCTCGTGGCTTTCTAGGAGTCATCTCTGCAGAAAAAGCCCCTCACTACTCTGCGCCCTGTGGTCCTGCAGCCATCCGCGTGACCCGAGGAGCCCGCTTTCTTGGCCTCATGCACCACAGCAGCAGAAGACTGCAGACCTAGATTCTTGCTGTTGACTGTGGCTGGGGTCTTAAATCAACCTCAGTCTAGCACAAGGATTGGCAAACTATAACTCTTGAGCCAAATCTGACCCTCCACCTGTTCTTGGAAATAAAGTTTTATTGAAACTCAGCCACGCCCACTCATTGACATATTGTCCATGGCTGCTTTCAAGCTATAATGGCAGAGTTGAGTAGTTATAATAGAGAGCATTTGTCTAGCACAGCTTACTGTATTTATTATCTAGCCCTTTCCAGAAAAACTTTGCTCGCTCCTGGTCTAGAATTATGAGACCATATTTTTATTTACTTAAGCTGGAGCAGAATGTTGTATATTGGAGTCCTGGGATATCCAGGATGTTTGGGGGAAGATCTAAGGCTTTCATTGACAGGGATGGCAAGGATCGAGGCTTCAGTGCAAGTCTGAGGACTGGCCACAGCTGCCTGGAAGGCTGTGTGGAGAAGGATCCCAAGGCTGTGTCTGGACTGGTGTGGGCGCTTCCAGAGAGGTGAAAATGGGCTGTGCTAATGTAGGCAAGGAGCACCAGACTGAGAAAGAAACAAGGAAAATACATGCTCTTCTTCCCCAAAGGTAAACGGCAACCAGCGACAGCTCGGCATTGCCCCACGCCTGCACTTGGCATTGCTGAGGCTGGCACTGTACATGTGCCCTTATTGGAGTGGGAGAGAGGTGAGATTTTAATACCATTCACATGGTGACAGAAGCAGACAACAGTCTGGAAGGGCCAAGGTCAGGGGAAAGCTCCAGCTTCAATTAAGGCGCCTGGCACTCCTGCAAGGCCAGCACTGCGTGGAAAGCTTCCTAGTGTGCAACCCAAATGCTGGTTAAAATGTTACAAGTTATTTAAAGATGAAAAGACAAGGTGACAATGCATACTTGCTAGAGAAAGTGGTATACAATGTGGGTCCTGCCATTTATATAGGTATATACATAGACAGCCCTTAGACTGCAGGTTTTAAAACTGAAAAATCCTAAGACTGCCTACCCAGTCAACATCCTATTATTCTGTAATTCCAATGGACGATTCATCCTCAGTGGTCCAAATAAATCCAGGTGCGGGAGTGGCCTTCTGTGGCCCTCACTTGCTACAGTGAATGTGCTAGTATTGTCGAAAGGTGAATACAAATCTAGATTTTGGAACTGAAATCAGATTTTAAATGCACCAAGAGTCTGCTACTCATGCTAAATCCTTATAAAGCTTATTAGCCACTTTAGTGAAAGTCCAGATTTTTGGATGTTGCAAGACATTTAAGTGTGGTATGACTGTAGCCTGATTGATGTTTACAGCTGTCTTATCAAGCTGACTTTTTCATTCTAAGCACTACTTGGAAATTATTAGGGTCACTGCTCCCTGGTAATATAAATCTATCTGGGAAATCCAGGGTTGTACATTGTTACTGTGCACTAATTTCTCACACAAGTCACTCAGTATCTTTCCTACAGTCAACGTTTTGGCTTTAATTGTTCTTTCTTCACAGCATGAAAAATGGCCAAATCAGCTCTGGCTGACTAGGCTTTTTTTTCATTTCAAGTAATTGTATGAAGCATTTAAAGTGTGTAAATGCACTAAACCATATCTCAAATGGAACTGAGTAATTCAAAAAATATATTTTATGACTTAAGTTATTGGCATAAAAATGCCAGTATTTTCCCACCTAGTCCCTAGAATGGGTGGCATGGCGGACGGGGGCTGGGATAGATAACTAGGTTCCAGACAGACCTGGGGAAGCTGAGCTTGTGTGAATGAAAACAACAGAGTAGAGGGTGCTCAGATATAGAATTCCTCTGAGTCACTGTCCCCGGGTCCGGCCAGTGCTGGGGATGGTGTGATGTGTCTGCCAGTCTGCTCGGTGTTGGGAGCATCGCCAGGGAGCTTGGAGGATGGCCCCGTGAGGGTGGCGGCACCAGAAGCGGGGGGAGCAGCAACCGCCGTTGCCAAGGAGCTGGAAGGCCCTTCAGTGAAGAGAGGGAGGGAAGCCCAGGAGGTCTCCGTGGTCACCCCACTCCCAGTGGGTAGTGGTCCTTCTCGGGAACCTTTGTGCTTGGAGCAGTGGCTGCCACAGCGTTCGGAGGGGAGGGGTGTTTCCAAGGCGCTAAAGAATCTACTGGGTGCGGAATACGCAGAGACCACGGACAGGTCCGAGGAGGACAGCCGCAGGCCCGTGTCCACATCTGTCTCCTGGGACCCCTCTAAGTCATCAATGGAGAGGAGGTGGCCGTGTCTCCACTCCGATGCCCGGTGCCCTGGGGCACCTGTGTTTGAAAAACACTGTGGTACAGCCGAGGAGGCTGGGTCGGGGTCTTCTGTGGGCAAACAAAACAAGGACTTGCTTCTCTGGAAAGACCAGGGAAGGCCGGGAGTGCTGCTGGCTCGTGTGGTAAATTCCTGCTGGTGCCCAGCTAGCAGGATCTTCTGGCTGGGCCCCAGGCGATCAATGGAGAGGAGGTGGCCGTGTCTCCACTCCGATGCCCGGTGCCCTGGGGCACCTGTGTTTGAAAAACACTGTGGTACAGCCGAGGAGGCTGGGTCGGGGTCTTCTGTGGGCAAACAAAACAAGGACTTGCTTCTCTGGAAAGACCAGGGAAGGCCGGGAGTGCTGCTGGCTCGTGTGGTAAATTCCTGCTGGTGCCCAGCTAGCAGGATCGTCTGGCTGGGCCCCAGGCGTGGACTGTCCAGTAGGGGTTGCTGTCCGCTGCCAGGAGGACGGCTCGGTGTGGTGCAGCTCGGGGAAGGCCTGGAGTGAGGTTTCTGCTCCGAGGAGTGGTGAGCTCTGTTGGGTTTAGGAAACTTCTTGTGCACCCTTTGTGCCTGTAGGGGGAAGAGGGCATATCCCACTAGTCACCTGGGAAGGGGATTTATTGTTAAATACATCCTGAAACACATTTTCTTATAATTGGAAACTTCTAGCGACATCGTAGCAACTAATTTCATTCTCTGAACTCTAAAGCAAAGACAGAGGTAGCAGGGCTTGGGGTGGTACCAATCAGGACCTAGGAGGAGACACAGCCCCTGTCACGATAGTGGATAATACTTCAAGTACACATGCAAGGGGCTCAACAGATTAGCCACACAATGAGGGCCTGGCTGAGAGGAGGTAAGAATTACCATTAAATGCACAACGGATGCCTCAAGGTTCCTTCCCTCTGACCACAGCACTGCTTGGGAGTGTTACTGCCGAGAGGATGGAAGCATTCAGGATGGGATAAGCACATATCCCTGAGTGGTTTGGCTCAGGATGGGATAAGCACAGACAATCTCAGATCAGATGGACATGGGATTTGACTCTAGTACCTGGGTGATCACAGGACACACCCTAGGGCTGGCCATGTCAGGGTGGTACTCGTAAACCTTCAGTGAGTAAGGGGCTATCAGGCCATTAGCATTTATTTACCTGCTATTAGGAATCTCTTACTGTATATTTTGCCTTTCAGAGACGGCACAGGAAAGGGAGCTGTGACTACTGACTAATCCCTTGGATGCCCCGTAGGGTGTAGACAAGCAGTTGCACCCTTCATGCCTCACCCCTGTCCTCCTATTCTTCCACCCTCCCTGCAGCTCAGCAGGAACACGTTTCTGTTGCACAAATATGGGACCTCCATTCCACCTGGCTCTGCTTCTCTCAGATTCTTCCTCTGGTCTGGCTCAAAGCCCAAGCCTACAGGGCAACCTTACAATGCAAAGTTTCAATTTAATAGCAGATTTAGGGGTAGTGGGTCTGGTTCTATTTAGTATAGGATCTGATTTACGAATCCCTGATATAAGAAAAGGGTTCTGACTGCAGTTAACTAAAAGGGATATTTCCTGGCACCCAGGAGGCTAACGTACCAGCCCTTCACTAGACACCAAACACCCTGCCTCCCTGTTCAGCAGGAACCTGGTTTTCCCACAGCCACTTGGGAAATTTCGTTCAATGTAATAAACTTCGGATGAAAAGGGGCCACAAACTAAACCTGACAAGCTCAGGGCAGGCCTGTGTGGCAGCTTTACAAACTCAGAGACCTAAAATAACCACAAAGGATAATCTGAAATTAAACCTTTTTTTTTAAAAAAAACTAAAGGCAGTTTACGGTGGGTAGTCATGTTCTAGGTCAATCTTTACCTTAACTGAACCTATTGTCTTTTTGCATCTACAATAACATCTCTTTGGAATGTCAAAGTAATTTCCCTTTTTCCAGACTCCTCGAAGCACAGGCACTGCTCTGCGGAGACTACAAATCCCCTCATGGTTATTGAATCAATTGTTGACTATTAACTATCCTGTACCTACTTAAGTAAAAGGAGTGTGTGTCTATCATTTTACTTTTAATCCAATCCCACAGGTTTCCCCACTTTGCTTTCTCCCGCCTCCCTAATCTATCACCAATGGATTTCATGTAACCTACTTACATCTCCTCCTTTGATTGTAATTTTGTACAAGGTGCAAAAACTGCCATTCTCCGAAGCATTATCTCAATCCGTTGAGATTCTGCTTCCTGGCATTTGTTGACAGTTTGGCTAAAATAAACGCACAAAAATTCTTTCCAGGTTTGAATGTTTCTTACGTTATTACTTGGTATAGTTGTCAGGATTCCAAAGAAGCTCACCCAAGACCATTCTGCAGACCCAGACCAGGAGATTGGATCCAGAAAAGGCCAGTTGAGCTCCGCCAGCTCCCAGCTGCATTGGGTGAACTTGGGTGAGTTGTCTCTTGGATCCAGGACCTTCCCTTGTTTTTGGTAGAGGGTCTGACTTTATTTGAGCTGCTCTTAGAAATTCCTAGAGGTGGCACTAAAGGATAGGAGTTGAAACCTGTGGCAGGTTTTGATTGGGCTTTTCAATTAGAATTGCTTTCTGAGAGTCTGAGCAAAAACCCTTCGCTGTATAAATGAGAGCTGAATGAGTTCAGCTCTGAAGATAAAGGGGCACATCCTCCCTCCAGCCCAAGTCTCAGGTGTTCTTAGGTTACTAAGAACCTTTGTGGAGGTGTCAGAGGTCATTCCTCAGGACATGCAGGAGTCCCATAGGGAATTTCCAACTCAACTGTAATTAAACTAACAGGCTCATCCAGGGGAGCGCCCATAAGGCTTGGTTTGACAGCGCCCGGTGCCCTTCCCATTGTTTTGGACAGCTGGGAGAGAAACCGAGGCATGTAAGAGGGTTGAATGTAACTCGAGGGGTGAGAGCCTTGTGGAGCTCAACCCATAAGCAGCACACTTTGACCCACTACATAACATCCCTAGAAAATTTTCTCAGAATCTGCAGATATCCAAAGAAAGACTAAAAATAAAACGGGAAATTGTACCTCTAAGGTTGAAATGCCAAGAATCCCAGCCCCCCATTAATACTCCCACAGGATACATGTACAGTTTGTACAGAATTTCAACTTGCAAGTACCTATAGAAATGGGAAAATTTAACTAAAAATGATATCAGCTTAAAGTGGGGAACTTTTGACACCTCCAAATTGATTATTCTGCATGCTCAATGTGAAAAAGCTGGCTCTAAAATTAAATTGAATGAATGGGAAGCTTATCCTGATGGGAAATTAGAGATTTCTAGGGGATGAACAGATAAAATATCTTCCCTACTGCTGGGATCATATTCAGTCTTTAATTTTTAAAAAAAATATATTTTTATTGATTTCAGAGAGGAAGGGAGAGGGAGGGATAAATAGAAACATCAATGCTGAGATAGAATCATTGATTGGCTGCTTCCTGCACACCCTCCACAGGAGATTAAGCCCACAAGCCAGGCATGTGCCCTGACCAGAAATCCAACCACGATCTCCTGGTTCATAGGTCGACACTCTCAACCACTGAGCCACACCAGCTGGGCCATATTCAGTCTTGATTATGTCTCTTCTATATGACCATTCCTTTCATTGATTTCTAAGATCTTTTTTTGCCTAATTCCAGATATCTCTTAATCCTATAAACAGACTGATTGACTTATTCTTTCAACAAACATTAACTACAGGTCTTGTATGCAGAACTTCTTAACTGGTGTGTTTAAGCTTTGCATGGGTTATTAAAGGTGTGCCAAGATATTAATCTTTCAAACTAGCAGCCTCTTTAACCACACAAATATTATCATTATCATTTTCAATGTGCTCTTTGATGTGAAAAAGGTCCAGAGGGCCAGGCACAGATAATTTTGAATAAGACGTGGTCTTAGCCCCTAACAATGAACAATACAATGTTTAAGTGTAGTGAGGTGAGCCATGATGATAGAGTGAGTAGCAATATATGCGGCATGCTGGGGCACAAAGAAGGAAGTGGTTGATTTTGTAGAGGAGTGAGGCAGCATGGGCAAAGGTAGAAAAAGTCTGCACTGAAAAGTCGTTCTTGGATAAAACCGCGGAAGTGGAAGAGGTGTTTGCCAGCTAGAGGGCATGGGGACAGCATGAAGGGCAGTCAGGCACAGAAGCAGCCTGAGCAGAGGCTGCAGGCATGAGCCAGGAGGAAAGCCCTGAGAAGTGAGAGGAGTCCTGTCACGGGGGCCCTGAATCCCAGGCAAATAGAAGCACCTGCACTTTAAAACCTGGAAAGGTTTGAAAGTAAGATGGTGGCATGGCCAGAGTTGTGGCAGTGGACTGAAGGAGAAAGGATTAAGTGGCCTAAACAAAAGAGACAAATATGACATGAGACTCTTAGAGAAGGAAGTTCCAGACGGACAATGTTCAGTAGTTAAAATGTCTTATCTTATTTTCCCCCTGGGCCTGGGTGCTCCAATGTCGTTTTCTGACTTTTTAAGTATGTCAGCCTGTGACTTCAGAATTTTATTTGAGGAGCATGCCTTCGGTGAGCAGCTGTGCAGTCTAAATCTGCCTGAAAAAGGAACCTCTGTGGGTATTGCTTCATGAGAAGCAAAGAGCCAAGCTTCCCATGCAAGGAACTGCTAAGGGACATCTGAGTGTTCCCACTGCAAGGGACAGAGCGGTGTGAAATCTGACTTTAAATCAGGAACAACTGGCTGAGGATGAGTACTTGGTGGTTTTGCAGATTTTTATCACTGTACTTGCTTAACAGGAAGCTGCCTCTGCTCTGTCTTATTCTGACCACATCAGGCGTCCAAATAAACCCTAAATTTTGCTGCTTTGAAGAGAGGTGGCACCTGGTGTTTTTTCAACATAGAGGTGCCCATGTGCACCATGGAGGTAGCTGCTGGGCGAAGCGATTCCAGCTGGCACAGAGATGGCTGGTGATAACGGCAAGAGCCTGGGGCAGGGAGTTGGAGGAGGGTGGCTGAAGAGACTCCACACCCCCAGATCCCAATCTGGGCCCAGGGCTGATGTGGGCTGATGTGGGAGGCATCTAGTGGTATTCTCGTTTTGCCCTGAGGCAGAAAGACAACTTGCACATGCAAAGGATGGAGTTTCTTTCTGTGTCCTACTCCTGGCTGTGGCTGTTTCCAGCTTCTTTTGTCTGTTTGTCTGACTTGACCAGGAACACTAACTAGATGCTGAGAATGAATCATGGTAGATGTTTCAGGAAATTCTTCCCCAGTGGACCTTTTCAGAGTGAAACAACGCCCTGTGCCCTCCTCCCATGGAAGCCTGTTAAGCAGAATTCCTGGTGGCTATTTGGCTCAAATTTATAAACAGAGTCTATTCGTTATTGCTAAGCAGGGGACTTCATGTTCTCTGCACTTCAGGGGAAAACTGCACTGTGCTGCCTGTCTTCCTGCACTGTGTTCCTGTCATTTGAGCTGACCTTTATAAAGAATCAATCCCCGAACTAAAAACCTGCCCCAGCCAATTGGGACTGCGCAGCTATATCCTCATTGGAATCTTCACTGACCAATGAAGACATTGCTTTTTGGGGAGCGCTT